AAACAATATTAAAAATAACTTCACCTAATAAATTCAACATATTTCTACATAAATTGAATTAATTGAAGATTTGTTAAGTTATTTGGATTTTTCTTAATATAAAATCAAACTAATTTCAGTAAAATATTTGTATGTCTCGGTGTTTAATCCTGAAAACTTCTAATAGTAAATCACCTCTTGGTCTCACTATGATTTAACATATTAGGCAATAATTAGTCAAAAAGTTATAAGCAATAAGATAAATGATAAAACCTCGATATGAAAAAAATTAAAAGTAAAATAACTTAGAATCTAAACTATGTGATCAAAATTAGGCTACATTAAAACCATTGAAAAATAAAATTTATTTCATAATGAATTTGATATAAATCACGCATGTTCTCATTGAAATACATTAAAAAAAAATTAATAAGAAGAATAAAATATTTTTTACTTGGAATATGTTGAAGTGTGTTGTTTATGTTTGCAACGGGCTTTTCTTCTCTCCTTATTTTTACCCATTTTCAATAGTAAAAAAGAACCTTATTTTATTTGTTATGATCAAAGTCTTTTTCTTGGTTTTCTCTCTTACTTTGTTCTAAAATATCATTTTATTTGTTTTTTGATTTTTTTAAAAAAACTAGTAGATTTTAACTTTTAATTTGTAGCTCTATTTTCTTTATTAAATCGACTTGTTTTAAAAAGTTATAAACATAAAAATTTTAGATATTTATCTTATTTTTTTTAACATCAAGATCTTAATTTTCTTTTAACATCAAGACAGTTTAATGTGGATATATACAAAGAAGATTATCTTTGATTTACTAGGATTCATTTCTAAAATTTATGACAAGGAAATATCCTTATTCCTACATGAGCAAAATTTATTTTTCTCATTCTTTTATTTTTCAAAACATGAATACAAGTCAACCAAATATCTTTAAGGTGATTTTATTATTTAATTGGCTTATAAATGAGCTTCCTCAATAACATGAGCTTTATTTATTTAGGGTTAATGTTTAGCTAAAACTCAAGGATTGGATACTAAATTTTCACTTGAAAAACTATAATTCCATGAATTTATTTATCTTTACATGTAAATAAATAAATAAACTATATAAAATATAAATATTTAAGATAAAAAAATATAAAATTAAAAGTAAAAATAAATAATAAAATCATTTCACTTTGTTTAAAAAAATAAAAAAATGAAAAAATCCATTTACACCAGCTTAATATTTTTTTTTTAATTTTAAAGATATTAAACCGGTTTATCCTAATGTATTTAGAAGTGAGTAACGAGTCAGGTGAAAAAAATTGTTTATCCTTAATGGCAAAGTTAATAGTTTTTTGTTTAAAAGATAAAATAATAATTTCATGTTGATCCGCGGTAAACTTTGTTTATAAAGAAATTCAAAGGTTGATGTTTTTTATTTTAAATAGTTACCACTCCAGCCGCCACCATTGGTATTCTGTCAAGACCATAGGCTGACCGAATGTCCAAGCCAAATCAAAAGATGATTCTCACAGACAATCTATCGAGTACTTGGTAGACGTAGCTTGAAATAATACAGAACCAATCATCCAGCATTGATCCAAGGGAACAAGGCACACCAACATCAGCAAAAACAACCGAATCTGAAATACAAGTATTGCATATACAGAAACATAATCATAGATTACGAGTACATGAACATGGAATCCAATTTATCACATAGAGTAATTAAGCCGAATTCCATGGTAATTAATAATATTAGTGAGGAATTGCTAGCAGAGCTTGTGACTGCTTTTCGTAGCGGAAACCACCAGCCTTAGAGTCATCTGCCGACCAAACGAAAATCCCATGGAGTTGGTTCTGACTCTTAAGCTTACTGCAGGCTGTAAAGAAGCCATTTGCTGGAGATAACCCTCCGCTTCCATCACTGATAAAGCTCACCAATACTTTACCACCATTATAATTAGAACTCTGGGTGTTGAAGTACTTCAGAAACTGGGCCACCGAGGTCCCCTGATCATAGGCATAAAATTGGAAGTTGACATAGTCTATCTGATGCCCATATTTCCTCCACAAGGCCAAGTAGTGGCTCTGAACTTGATCATCATCAAAAGGAGCTATAGAGGCAAACGAGATGACTCGATTTCTCTTAAGGGCTGTAATGAGTTGTCCTATACACTCTGTAAATGTATCAGGATCAGCTTGGAAGTGCTCGTAATCAATATCAATCCCATCCAAGTTATACTGCTGAATGATCCGTGTGAGTGAAGAAACAGCATTAGAAACCCAAGAATCAACAGAGGAAGGATTAAAGTAAGCATAGCCGTTCGCTACACTATCCCCCCCAAGGCTCAAGGCAACTTTGACATTGGAATGTTGGTTCTTGATAGAAGAAACCTGGGAAGGGCTTAGATTATCGGTGTCCCAAAAGATGTTGAATTTTCCATTGGTGGGGGAGGGAGAACTTGAGGTGTCATAGTCAATGGCAAAAGAGAGGATGAAATGGAATTCAACATTAGGGTTTACAGGGACATCGGTGAATCTGACATTATTAAACTCGGCCCCTATGTATTCACGGAAGAGGTCTGATTTTGCAGGGGCTGCTTGGATCGATGCTTGAGAGGGGAAGATAGCTTGAAGAATAAGAAGGGTGATGAACAACATTGAAAACTCCATTTCTTGTAACTGTTCAGGATCCAAGAGGTTGTGTTTTCTTGCGTGTTAACCTTGTCTATATATACCGTGTCAATGCCGAAATACTGGGCATGAACTGAGCAAAGCTAAAAGTATCAAAATATTATATGTGGATTGCCGTGGATGTAATTTTCAGATTGAAGATTATTTCTTCTTGACTGATGCACGTCTTAGTGGAAAGTCCGCTACTTTGTTACCATCTTATATAAAAAGAGCAAGTTGATTTGTTTTACTAGGAAGACGGTTGCGACTGACGACTACTCCACTGCTAGTGTTTGATTTGATAGAACATTTCTTTGTTTCCCTTCAGATATATATATATATATATATATATATATAAAGAGCAAGTTGATTTGTTTTACTAGGAAGACTGTTGCGACAACTCTACTGCTAGTGTTTGATGGAACATTTCGTTGTTTCATATATTTAATGTCGCCGTAGACACCTCTACTTTCTCTATGCTAAAGCCTTGGAATAATGGTGGTTTTTATAGATATTTGAAAGTGTTGTCATGATTTTTTTTTAAATATTTTTTATTTATAAATATATATAAAATAATATTTTTTTATTTTTAAAAATTTATTTTTAATATTAACATGTTAAAATAATCAAATATATTTATACTAACATGTTAAATTTAAATGGCAAAGATAATATAGTAATTTTACTATTCTATCAAATATATAAAAAAAAAAATACAAAAACTCCATTACGAAGAAGGCATTGAATTGTTTTACTTAAGGGTTACGTTATAAATTTTACATTAATAATACAATAACCAAAATAACTTTGTATAATTCTCAAAATATATTTATATCATTATAAAAATATCACACCATCTCGGAAGTAAAAACAAAAGATAAAATGATAAATTGTAATTACAATATTGTAATGAATAATAATGTGTTTCGGGATACAATAATATCTTCACGGGAATTTTTTTTTTTTTGGATAATTAAGGCTTTGGAGGGAGAAACTAATTAATTAAATACAAACCAGTAAAAAAAGCATCGAATATGAGGTAAGTTTATATAAAAGTCTTGAAATTACTAGAAAATTTCCTAAATTTAGGTTTATATTTACACCTTCATCATCTTTCGATTAAAGTTGTTTATATTAATTACAAGGGGTAGTTTGGTAATTTCGATGATAGTTTTGTTGGAAATAAAAATGACGAAGTTAACGGAGAGAGAGGAATGATCCCAAGAATGACAAGACGACAATGAAAGATGTATTAATTAGAAGGGGCAGTTAGGTGACGATTCAACAATGATTATCTCCATTTTTTAATACTAGACTTGTTCATGGGTCAGGTCGATCCGGGCTTAAGGAAGGCCTTATTGACTTTTATGAGCCCAATTCGGACCATTCAGGCTTCTAGCTAGGCCTGAGACTGGCCCAAATGGGTGCAGGCTTTCGGGACTCTTAAAAAATAATAAATGAACAATTTTTAAAATCTCTTGGCATAAAAAAACATTACGTGATGACATGGTATATTTTTTCTTATCTTAACAAAATAAACAATTAGAAGGGTAAAAAAAATGAAAAATAAATTTCGAATATTCAACAATCACAAAATCACTAAGTCTAAATCCATTCACTATTTTTAATTCCATAATAATTAAAACGTCAATAACCCGTAAACATTATTAATTAAATTCCATATTGAAATGACAAGAACTCACAAACAGTATTTTTTTTTAATATTAAACAATATCTGAATAATAAATATTCATATAGATATTATGAAGTATATCTAAATTTTTTATTAAATAGATAATGAATATGATATGCATATAATAAAACCCTACCTGTAAGTATCAATTGCCATCTTTATTAATAACACCATAGTGAGAAAAAAAAGGCAGGGTTAATGGGTTTTATTTTAATTATTATTACTTGCATGACCTATATTAAAATTTCATAAGTCTCTTGATAAAAAGTTGGGTGATAACTCTGATAGATATAATTTAATTGATCAAATTTTATTTTTTTTTTTAAAAATTATTAATTTAAGTATTATAATTTGAGAATCATATTATTAATTTTAATATCTTAAAAAATTAGTTAAGATATATATAAATTAATTTAGATACAAACAATTATAAAAAAAATAAAAATAATCTACTTGAAAATCTATCAAATCTCAAAATACTCAAATCTGTTATAAAATTTTTTTCAACATTTTAACCATTAATGACCCTCTTAATAACCAGAAACTATTAACCCATAATTTAAGCGTTCAGCGCTTAATCAGTAACCTCCACATTCCGGGCTCCACTATATATAAGACTCTCCCTTAACCCTTTCATCTATTTCAGTTTGTTGTTTTTTAAACAAGAAGAAGAAATAAAAAATCAAATTTGTCCCGCCAAAATGAAAGAGAACCAAACGCCATTAAAAGAACTCTCGCGATCATCATCCTCTTCCGCTCGCAAATTCAAAGAGTCTCAATTGAAGAAGCCACAAAAGGTTAATTAATCATCTAATTGAACTCCAAACCCTAAGTTTACTCTGTATATTTCCGAATCTCTTTTTGAAAATCTCTTACTGTGTAGATCGCAAAGAAAAGCTTGAGCGGTGTGTTTTCTTCGGCCGCCGAAGTTGTTTCGCCGGAAATCAACATTAACGAATTGAGTGATTTCTCTCCAGTTTCAGACATCTCTGATGCTTATCACTGTGGCCAAACAGCACAAGTAAATTTCTCTTCATTTCATTGAAATTCCTTATTTTCGATTTTATTTGGATTTTTCTCGTACGCAAAACTGATTTAGGTATATTACTTCAATTTTTATCTTTTGAACTCGCTGCGATCGTAATCACAGATTACTATTTTTCTAATTTATGCTGATTTCCTGTTACATAATCCTTAAATGTCTTCTAGTAATTTGTTTTCATTTTGATTTTTTTTATAAGAAAAAATCACAGTTGAAATGATTAAAAAATCCTTGAAATTTTGTCATCTAGCTAGTTTATTTGTATTTTGATTTCTGTTTGTCTGGATAAATTCTTTTCCTTGGTTCAGATCTCCGTGTCGCCTTTAAATCCGGCTCCTTGGGCTTCGACAGACACATTATCTGTCTTTGATCTTACTCCGACTTCAGAAATCAGCACCATCACGGACAGACCAGGTTCCGTCGAGAAATATGGACTCGGCAAACTATGCGGTTCAAAGATCGGTCCAGTGGAGGGGTTGGAGGCAGATGTTGCGGTGAAGCTTCTAAAAGAAGCAAGAGTTGAGGTTTTGGATTCTGATGTTCGGTCAAAGAAGTTTCTAGATGCATTGACGAAGGCTGTTATGGATGAGTATTGTACACTGCCTGAAGAGAAAGACTGGATGACTGACCTTGTTTCCATGAAAGGGCGCATTGTGTGCTTGTGTTTCTTGATCTGGAGCTTTGTGGTGTCCACGATGTTCTTGTTTGGTTCGGGATTGAGTAGCTCTGCTGGTGGACCATTGCCCACTTGAAAGATTGCATGGAAAGGTTGTGATTCGTGCTTTTTTTGGGTGCAATTCTGTCTGCAAAACTTTGATCTGTTGTTATCTAGATGTTTCATTCTCTTAAGATTTTTGCTGTCAATTAGGGTTTTTGTGTGTGAAATTAAGTATTGCTGACCCTTTGATCCATCTGTTATACAACTATACACTTGAATCCGCGAAGAACCATTCTAATTCCCATAAAACACCACCTTTTACTCGGATTCCATAGAAGGAACGAAAAGATTAATTAATCGCAAGCCTAACGTGCATCGACGCTAGCTTAGTCCAATCCGTATCCTTTTAGTTTACAAGCTGTATAAATAAATAAAGAGTCTCACGATAGAGCTTCAACAAAAGATTTTATCGACAGGGCTCGCTTAGCATCACATAGCTCCAGCCTTCATGTCGTCTGCTAGACGTTATGTCTTCAGCCTGGACAGAAAGGAGGTCCTCCTGAACAACTCCAACGACAATCGGCCGTCAGCGGTAAGAGTACAGTTTTTTCTTAACAAAATGATCTACCGTTACATGGTTGCCCCTGGTGCACCCGCTCGTCCGATCCGACTATCGGCGCCCCGCAGAGAGCTGGCGATGATTAAAATTGTTGACGTTCCTGTTGACTCTACACACGTGGAACTTAGTCTCCAGTGCAAATCGGCGGAAGCCTTGACTTCCATGGGAGTCCCAAGAACTCAACAAACTGACCAGTTATTAGCATCGATAGTCTCTGAAACAAAGCGCTTGCTTGCAACAAGTCGACTCCCCAATGGGAGTACCGTATCAATGTGGATTCGTGTGCTGGCTATTGAACCTCAAGAATTTGAGTACAACGAATATGAGGCAGGTCGTATTACGAGGGCTGGTCTGCGGCAACAACGCAGGCCAAACCCAGCTTCCACAACTTCTGTTGAAAGATCTCTGGAGGAAGTGGTAATTCATTTCAACCATCAGGATGCGGGTAGTTCATGATCTGGAGTTTGTGCGGTTTGCATGGAAGAATTTGAGTCTGGGATTGAAGCTGCTCGGACGCCGTGTTCTCATGTTTACCACCGACAACATTGTATCAGCAAGTGGTTGCAAGAAAGCAATAACTGTCCCCTTTGCCGCCGTGAATTATCCAGTTAGATCAGTAGGCAGTAGGTATTTAAGGGGAGAGGGCTGCCACCGTGCATAATGTGCAGCCCAACCGTGCATATCATGCAGTCGAACCTAATTTCTGTCCAATTAAGCTAATGTATCAGAGCCATCTCATCTTAGGGTTTTCTAAAAATATATCCTCTTCTCCTTTTCTGTTGGGCAGCCACTGTGGAAAATAATGGTTTCACCTTTCCACGACGTGGTTATGTGCCCATAGATCTATATTTTGGTTGTGTGCGACCATGGCAGCAACATGCTTATTTCTCAAGTTTTTCTCCACCGTTCACTTGGCAAGGAACTAATCCAATGCCAACTTTGTGATGAATTCAACCACCACTGCTAAATTGCGTCCACATCCTCATTGTATTTCATTATTAGAAAATTAATAAATAAAAATAAAAAATATTAATAAAATTTTTTTATTAGTAAATTATAGTGAATTTTATTGACAAAATAGGTTCTTATTTGTTGGTAAACATCAATTTTTTCATTGATGTATATTGATAAAATTACAATAGAAAAAGAAATAATTAAAAAAGAAAAAAGATACAATGATGTATTATTTTTACAAATAAAAAAAATCAACATAATAAACTCGTAAGTAATATCTATTCATAAATTCGTCGATGATATTTAAGAAATGACCTGATGAGAGACCCGCCTTCCCCTCTAATTTCTTTATCTTTTTCCATTTTCTTTGCGAAAAACAACTTACCTCCCCCCCCTGTTTTATTATAAATCAACCTCTTATTACCTTAAATTGAGCCACTCCAATACTTGGTATATCAACATCACTATTTAATTTATTTTTTTTAGGATTTTTCATATCAAGTAGGCAAAACTATTAATTTTTTGTTTGAACTGAATTTTAAAATGTTATTTTTATAGTATATGTAATTTGTTTATGTGTTTACTTGTTTTATAACCTTTTCTTATAGGAATTTGTATTATGAATGTATGATTTATACATTTTAGGGTTTGTTTGAGATTTTAAAAAATTATATTTGTTTTTAATTTGATGAAATCAATTTTTATTTTGTGACTTAGGTGTTTTATAATGAAATAAATAATGACTTATTTAATGAGTACATTTTATATTTTATCAATCTTATTGTTGAGTTGAAAATTTTAATAAATATGTATGAATTTGAATTTATATAAATAATTGATAATGACTCAAGAGTACTATTAAAATAAATTGAATAAATTTGAGTTAAACCGGTGTTAGCTAATTTATTTAGTTCACATAATTAACTAATACATGTTGTCATCAATATTCTATATAGGTTTGATATAAGTAATGGATGATCATTCATTAATGAATTGATATTCATCCCTAAAGCGTTGTATATGATGAATTATTATAATAAGTTTGGGGGTTTTATTAATTACTCATTATCTAATTTAAGATATATTAGTGAATGCAATATTAGATGTCTATGTAAAAAGTGTAAAAATAAGAAGTTTATCAATCCAGATATTGTAATAATGCATCTTTTACAAAAAAGATTCATGAAAAAACATCTTAATTTGCAAAAAGTTTCTTAGGAGACCATGTTTGAAAAGATGGTTGAGTCAACTTCAAGTTATACTAATATGCATGAAGTTGTAGATGATAATAGTAATTCTTATAAGAATATGGTTATGAATACGATGAGAATGAATCATGGTTATACAGGTGAATATTCAATTATAGATAAAGAATTAAATGTAGATGTAGCTTGATTTTTTAAAAGATTCTAACAAATCATTACGAGATGAGTGCATAAATCACAGTAACTTATTGGTAATTATACATGTATTCACCATCAAGTTGGATCATGAGTTAAATGAAGCCAATTATGACAGAATTGTCGAATGAGCAAGAAAAAATCTACCTGAAGGGAATAGACTGAAAGAGAAAATTTTTTTTACCTAAAAGGAATAGACTGAAAGAGAAATGTTTATATTTTATGATTTCCTTGTTATGCATAGAATTGATGTTATTATGCTGTGATTTTAATGTATTTACAAGATGGATAGATAAGAAAAACAAATAATTTTTTGACATTGAAAATGTTTTATATCAATAGAATTACAAATGACATGTAAAATACTAACAAATACCACCGTCAACGGACTAAATTCCAGAGAGTTAAAAAAATTACATGCATTGATGTTGATTTATTTATTTTGATATTCTAATGATGATGGAGATGTTTAAGTTGATTTGGTATGTGCTAAGGTAGTTTCTAAAGGTTTAATAGTTTTAGTAATACGTTGGAAATATAAAAAGTAATGGAAATTAGTTAAGTTTAATATTAAGGACTTATCGTGAACAAAATCAACTGTTTTGTGACAATATATTATTGATGTGTATTTGCAAGTAATAAAATTTTGGGTAATCTTCTACATAGGGGAGATGTTGATAGCTTTTTTTAAGTTATTATCCTTTTCAACCCTTTAATTTGTATAGATGCATAAAAAAAGTTAATAACAAGTCATACGAACAAGGTCCCCACTAGTTCTTCTAACAATGCTTCTTACGATCATGAGTCATTAGATGCCAACCATGGACAAACACAGAAGGCATAAAAAGCCTTTCTCGATGCAAGCTCATCAAGTGTGATGTCGCTATATTAAGAGAGGGTCTTTTCAAAGAGAGAACCATTTATAGAGAAATATATTGTTCAGTGAAAGCTCGATCATTTAATGTAAATTTTTTTGTGAACCACCCTTCACAGGAAGATGTGATTAATTTGTTTTTTTTATTTTTTTAGGAATGCACTTCCAAATTATTCCTGTGTAATATGGTAATAAGTTCTTTTAAATATTAATAAAGAAGTATTATAAATCTCTTGTTAAAACTCCTTTAGGATTGATATTTTACAATTTATTCAAGTTAATTTAATTGTATTTGTTTAGATGTTAAAAGCTTTTTGGTTAAGAAATCTTGGGCAACTCCTCACCTCCAAAAACGTGATTTCTTAAATGCAATGCATGGAAGTGAGCTGATTTACAACTGATATAGAGATAACTAATTATCGATTATGAGACATCAAGAAGCAGACCTCCACTTTGGGCATCAACATTTACAATTGAGTTGATTCCTCGTTTTGTATGCATTATGAAATTCTAAAGGCGTTTTGGAATGCTAATAGTTCTCTTCAGTTTTAGAACAGTTTAGTTGGGCTCTAGCAGGTAATCAACGCGTGCATCATTTGTTATTCGCCTCCTACTTTTCCTTTTTATTTGCTAGTTCCTTTTTTTGAGAGATGTTGGATTAGGAAGCATGGTGATGTCCCATGAGATTCGCAGGCATAGATATGTTAAGACATTCAAGCATTCAAACACACATCAATTTACGTGGTTCGGCAACTTGCCTACTCCATGGAGCTACTGGTTTGTATTAATCAAGCTTAGAAACAATACAAACAACAAAACAAGGAGGAGGAGAAAAAACTTCTCTACTCAACTCAACTCTCACTCTAGCTCTCTCTGTGTTTCTCTCTGATTCTTCTTGTTATCAGCTCTTAATGACACCCTCTATTTATAGCTGATATGGGAGACAATCTTCTTTCTTTGGTCAATTATGGTGGGCACCGTTTTCTTTATTTAGGCACCCACCATTGACTCTCACCATGCAGCCATGTTTGACATGGCTGCCACCTACCATATTGTGTCTATACATAACAATCTCCTATTTGGATACAAATAGCGCTAGATCTATCTTTTAATTTTTGAGACCAACTGAAGCTTTACACAACTTCAGTTTATCAAGAGTAACTCTTTTGGTTAACATGTCAGCTGGATTTTTGCTTCCATAGATCTTTTTTAGCAATAGTTGTTCATCGTCGAGCAATTGTCGGATGAAGTGATATTTGATCTGTATGTGCTTGGTCC